TTATGGGTGCCAGGACTTTGTGTTTAGTAAATATTTTAATATTAGTGATATTTTTCTCCATCTGGATGCAGGAGATGCTGAAGCAGCTGCAGAGCAAACTGGAGCAGGAAGCAGGAAACCTGGCTTCATCTGGGAGAACCGACGTGCTGCAGCAACTCAAAGGTGACAACATTTATCCTCATGAAACACACCACAAACACACCACAAACACGGCACAAACACACCACAGAGAGTGAGAACTCCTCTGGGCGGCTCTTCATTTCCACAGGAATGGATTGACTCGTCCAGTTAATCTGATTGGCTGCCTCGTTATGACTCGGTCCAATTAAATCATCTGAACCTGAATCCATTTAGGCTGAGCAGAGATTAAAAGCAGAACACTGTTTTCTGACTGACATAAGTGGAAAGAAATAATCAAATAAATGAAACTAATGCAGCAACCGAGTCGAGTTTATAATAAAAGGGAATAAAAAGCAGCTGATGAAACCAAACAGAAGAAACATTTGAGGGAAATACATAAATTCAAACAACTAAAATGTAACAGAAACCGTGAAATAAAGTTTGTTTTATTAAAGGAGTATAATATATTAACTCCAGACATTTTCTAGACAGATCAAATCATTGATTTTGTTTGTTTTCATCATCCTCAGCAAAAATTCAGGATATTTATTTAGAAATCTTGATGTAATGTTTGGATCTCTTGGACGTCCTGTTGGGTCATAACTTTTTACATTTACCCAGTTATCTTTACTTCAGAAACTTATTTGAAAAAAAATTACGAGTCAGTATTTTTACTGCACTGTAATTTCACCAATTTCATTATGAAGTATTTCTTCTCTTACTTGAGTAAATTTTCTGGATTTTCTGCCCACCGAAAAGCAAAAGATTCACCAGACAGACACAAACCTGCAGATTAGTTCAAGTTTCACAAGTTTTTCATTGAAAGAAACTGATTTGGAAACATTTTATCTTTATTTGCCTGATTTTGTTACTGTTTGTATAAATTATTGTTATTTTTGTTCTTAAACTACCAAATTTCCACGTAACTTTATGTTTTGGTCCCTCTGATGATGTTATTTTTTCATATTAAATGATGAATAATTTGATCAGTTATTCAGAACTTGAATAGACTTTTTACCAAATACTTTGTTACTTTACTTAAGTAAAGATATGTTGAAGTCGTGCTACTATAAAACGCTACCAGCGATAAGCTAATGCTAAAAATTATTTCTCCAAACGGAGACCAAAGGACGGTTCCTCAGTTTTCTCCTCGTTCTTTAGAGCTCTACATGGATCTCACCAACTACTACGAACTCAAACATCAACCTCACAACCTGAGGTTTATGGCTTCTAGTCTGGGCGGCGCGGGGATGAGGGGCGTCGCCGGGTCGGCTTTGAGCGGCAGCTTGGATCTAGAGGATCACTTGGCTCTGCCTTCGTCCTCCTGCTGCTCCTCCTCCTCCATGGCTGCCGTGAACCGAGCCAGGAGCCCGCTCCGAGCGGCGTCGCGCCAAAGCATGGCGTCCGGCGGGGAGACCGCCATCATGCTGCCTCATCACTTCCTGGATGGAGCTCCGCCCCAGACGGCGGTGATCTGTGATGGAGACGGACGGCTGAGCGACCATCACTTTGAGGAGCTGTACAAAGAGAGGTCAGGAAATCCACAAAACAATGTTTATTATTCTCACTAAAATACTAAACAGAAATAACTCAGTATGACGACATGTCATAATAATTATGTTATTCAGATAAACAATCATGATTCTGTTTTCAGACCATTTTCAAGTCATATAATGTTAATGGGTTAATAATAATGCAAAAACATTTAACACTGAAACAGGAAGACATTTTAAATAACCAGAATAAATAAACATAACAATAAAAACAACAAATAAAATGAATTATGAAATCTCTGTTTTCTCCTTAGCATCACATGTTAGCATGTGATGAAATCTGGAAAACTAAAAAATGGAAATTAAAGATGGAAGATAATAAAAATAGAGTTGGGATTGAGTGATGAAATGCATAAATTTGTAGTGAACTTTGACCCCTGCAGGAACTTCTTGCTGGGAGAAATCGACCGGGAGGAGCGGGAACGCCTGGAGGTTCTCTCACATACGTGCCACAGGCTGGCACAGCTGCCGCGCATCGATGAGGTGAGAGCGGAACAACATGCTGCTTCCTTTACCGTACCATCTTTACTTGACCTCTGACCCCTGTGTCCAGATTTCCCTTCAGCTAGATTTAATCCGACAGAATCTGGAGGACAAAGTGCATCGGTCTCTGATAGCGGAGCGCTACTTAGCAAGCAACGAGATGGTGCACAGGACTCAGGTGAGCTGCACTGATTAGAACAACAGGAAGGTTTAACAGGTGGAATGAAAATGTCCCGCTGTCTGCAGGTTCCTTTATGAAAGTATCTGGGTGCCTATAAATGACAGAATCGCTCCTTTTGTTGTCTTAAACCACCATCAATAATTATATTGTTCATTATTTTATCTTTATTTTTTTTAAATGGGGCATTATATTTTAATTAACATTTACTGCAAATGTTTGAGATAAAAGAGACTAATTTCCGTTCCTTGTCCCATTGGCAGGTTGATGTACATGATGTTTAATAATAATAAGAAGAAGAAAAAGCAGCTTCAGACTGCTGCACAAAAAATCATCATGAAGGAGAAAAGAGAAATTAAACTGTTGTTTCAATTAATACTGAATATGGTTCAATAATTTTCACTTTAAGTTGAATAGAGTCAGCATAACAGCGCTAAAACTAGTTAGGCAAGGGAAGGCTATGCTAAGCTAAGTAGGCTAATCATGTGACTAGAAAAAATAGCTTGTGTCCTAAACCCAAACAAATCTACTGTGAAGTTTTAACATAATAAATAAATAAAATATTTGTCATTTTGGTGTGCCCCCCGGTGCTCCCCTGCCTGGCCCCCTTGAGAAAAATGATCTAGATACGCCCCTGCAGACGACACAGTTTGTGTCGACAGTGAAAGTTGCTGGAATAAGCAGCATTTTGAAGCGTTTTCAATGCCGTTTATGTGTTGCAGATGCGAGCAGCTCGTCTGGAGCAGCTGGAGAAAGAGCTGCATGAGGCCAGAGGGGGTCAGGAGGGCCAGCTGCCGGTGAGACGGGCTGCACACACTGATACACACTGACACACACTGACACACACACTGACACACACTGATACACACTGATACACACTGACACACACTGATACACACTGATACACACACTGACACACACTGACACACACACTGACACACACTGACACACACTGATACACACTGATACACACTGATACACACTGATACACACTGACACACACTGACACACACTTACACACACTGATACACACCGACACACACTGACACACACTGATACACACACTGACACACACTGATACACACCGACACACACTGACACACACTGATACACACTGATACACACCGACACACACTGACACACACTGATACACACTGACACACACACTGACACACACTGATACACACTGATACACACCGACACACACACTGATACACACTGATACACACTGATACACACCGACACACACTGATACACACTGATACACACTGACACACACTGATACACACTGATACACACTGATACACACTGACACACACACTGACACACACTGATACACACTGATACACACACTGACACACACTGATACACACTGACACACACTGACACACACTGACACACACTGACACACACTTACACACACTGATACACACCGACACACACTGACACACACTAATACACACACTGACACACACTGATACACACCGACACACACACTGACACACACTGATACACACTGATACACACTGACACACACACTGACACACACTGATACACACCGACACACACTGACACACACACTGACACACACTGACACACACTGACACACACTGACACACACTGACACACACTGATACACACTGACACACACTGACACACACTGATACACACTGACACACACTGACACACACTGATACACACTGATACACACCGACACACACTGATACACACACTGACACACACTGACACACACTGACACACACTGATACACACTGACACACACTGACACACACTGACACACACTGACACACACTGATACACACCGACACACACCGACACACACTGACACACACACTGACACACACTGACACACACTGATACACACTGACACACTGATACACACTGACACACACTGATACACACTGACACACACTGACACACACTGACACACACTGATACACACCGACACACACCGACACACACTGACACACACTGACACACACTGATACACACCGACACACACCGACACACACTGACACACACACTGACACACACTGATACACACCGACACACACCGACACACACCGACACACACTGACACACACTGACACACACTGATACACACTGACACACACTGACACACACTGACACACACAGACACACACTGACACACACTGACACACACTGACACACACTGATACACACTGACACACACTGATACACACTGATACACACCGACACGAAGCAGCACAGACAGAGGTACCAAACAGAAACATAAATTTGAGCTGTTTTGCTTCCTTGAACAGGTCAGGATGGATCTCTGGGTGATACCAAACATGCTCATTACGTTTTCTGCACAAAACATTCTTGGATTATGAGCTTTTAGCTGTTTGGGGCTTTTTGTCACTTTAAATTCAAATAAGCTGCTTCTGACCAGCTGACCAAACGTGTTGGAAATCCTCTTGGGTTGCTAGGTGATGCTGATTTATGACGTTCCATTCGGAAGGTTTTTGATGCAGGTCGGTTTACAGATGCCAGAAAACATTAACCTATCACTGTAGAGCATCTGGTGGGTTTCTGAGCGTTTGTGCTGCTTTTAGAAGCAGCAGAACCGAGTTGGAAGAACAAAAACATGGAAATGTGAAGTTTGAAGAATCAGTCCTGGCTTTATAAAGATTTGCATGTAAACACAACAGAATTCATTAATTACACTTAAATATTTAATTTTTATAGAGTTCATTTAGTCTTTGTCATGAAATCTTTCTAAAGTAACACTTCTTTGGTTCATACATGTCGTGTCCTTCATCAGAAGATGCTTGACGGTCGGTTAATGTCCGCGTCATTCACTCAGCAGAAGACTGACAGTTTGGAAATCGTCATCAGTCCTTCAGTCGCACCGTTAGCCTCACTTCAGAAGACGTTCCCAAGACAGCTCCACCTGACACAGAGTCACCGAGCCGTCGCTGGCCCACACCCAGAACCCGGGGTACAGCGGCTCCGTGAAGGTGGAGGTGAAGGTGTGCAGGTGAACCATCGCGTCCTTGGAAACGCAGAAAAACGAGAGCGTCCCCTCTGGGCAGTTGAGGTAAACGCCGACCCTGTTGCTGAAGGGTTCAGGCGAGCAGGACTGGAATCTCTTGTTGTTGTGGCACGGCGTGTAGAACCCGTTGGAGCACTCCAGACTCCAGGACCGCTGGTTGTGACCCAGCAGGCAGCTCGCTGTGTCTCCGTCTCTGGAGATGTTGTTGTAAGTAACGCCAATGTCGGCGCCGCCGCTCCATGATACCTCCCAGTAAGCCAGGTCCAGCAGCCCCTCTCTGCACAGAACCTGGGGGCATTGCTCGAACCGCTCCGGGTGCTCCGCACGCCGATCTGTCAACCAGTCTCGACTTGCCTTTCGGTTGCCGTCAGCTAAGCGAAGCTCTGAGTTGGCCGTGTTGGGGTCAAAGGTCAGATAAATTGCAGCTGTTGGTAAAACAATAATAAGAACATTTGATGGGCTTCAGATGGCAGGTAAACAACAAGGAGATGTTTTCTACCTCATTCTAACATTTGATGTTTGGTGTGAGATATCAGGCACTTCTTAAGTGAAAATAAAAGTAGTAGTAGTTTAAGTAAAGTCATAATTCACTTAAAGTCCAAGTGAAAACCCAAATATTTTGTAATTTTTATTATGTAAAGTGTTTACATTTATCTCACTCTCAACTCTGCTAGAAAATAACCTGTTAGCTTCCGGAAGGCAGATCTAACTGAGAATGCTAACTAAAAACCTTGATACGCTAATGCTAAAGCACCACAACATGGTATTTAGTGGAAGCTAATGCTAAAGTTTCCACAGCTTATTTAGCATGACCAGCTAAAAGGTTTGTTGTGCTAACGCAGAAGCCCTGATTATTTCACCTCTAGAAAGTAACATGTAAGATCTGTGAAGGCAGTTGTGGTCACTGCTTACGCAAAGCTAACGGTAAATTGCTATATCAACATGGTGTTTCATGGCAGCTAATGCTAAAGTGCTAACTTTTAATATAAACGTATATAAACTACTGAAAGAATTATTAACAGTTGAAATCCAAAACTTCCACACAGATGTCAAGTTTTTACAGATGAAAGTTTACAAAACAGCCAAGTGAATTAACACGTTAGAACGTATCTGGAAAACAAATTTAGAGAACTCTAAGTGCTCTTTCAAAGCTAGCAATAGGACTAACGGGCTAACGCTGCTCCGGTGTCAGCTTTACCGCCTCAGTGTAAAGTTAAGCTGTGAGATCTGGAAATGAACCTGCATGTTCCTGAAACATTTCAGTTCTGTGACATGAATCCAGGCTGAACTAAAATCAAGCTGCATGCAGATGACACTGTGAGGTTTATAAAAGAAGGAAATAAAGAGAGAAGATTGTAAGTTGAAAAAGAGAAGCATATCAATCCGTCTTAACTTACAGTTTTTCAGAGACCAGAAGTCTTCTATAGGCTGGGGGCTGCAAAATAAGGAAGTAAAAACTTCAGAATACGCCTGTCAAATGGGATCTCATGAATGTTCACTGGTTTTCATTTCCATTCTGCATTAAACTAAGCGTGTGGATTTCTTTAACTGACCTCAGGTTGGTTCTTAGAGGGATTAAACTGACTTCAGAGGACAGAACCTTTTCTAAAGGTTCATTTTCTTCTTCGTTTTTTTCATTGTCCCAGAATCCAGTTTGACTTTTTTCATTAGCTGCAATAAAAAAACAGCGTTTCACACATTTAACAGAAGTGCAGACAGGTTTCAGAAACACAGCAGGAGGTAACTTATCTGTTCAGTGTCTGCTGTTTTTACAGAGATAATACAGCAGAGTTGATGATTTTTGCTGATCCATTCAGAGCCATACCTGCTGCTGCTGCTGATGCAAACAGCTCCTCACTTTGTGGTTTTGGAGTCTTTGTCTTCTCGGTTCTCCTTTCTGTACCACAACCAGTCATCTGACTGTCCTGGGATTCATCCAGACAGTTTATCGGGTCATTAGATTTCTGTGTGTTTTCATTTTCTTTGTTTTGTTTTGTTGGATTTATTTCTATGTCTGCTTTGCTCTTCGTAGCTTGATTTGTTTGAGCCGTCTTCAGGACAGGTTTCTCCCTCCTGAACAGACTCTTTAACATTTCATTGGGTCTCTCTCCTGCTGAGGCTTTTGTCTGACGGTTGTTCCTGGAGTCCTCCTTCTTTTCCACGTTCTTGTTCTCTCGATCTCTTGAAGGACCAAACCTGAAAACGTTGGAGAGTTCCTCTTTCAGGAGAGTCAGGGGGCTGCTACTCTTCTCCGCTGATTGGCTCGGTTTGGGATCCGAGTTTTTGTCCTTGAACATTTTCTTCATTTCCTCTTTAATTTGGTTGAAGTCCTCTTTGATGAGAGTGAGAGGATTGATTGCTGGTTTTGCTGTTTGAGTCGTTTTAGGGAACTCCTTTCCCTGCTGGTCTTCACCTTGCGGCGCCTCTGACCCGATGTCGTCATCCTCCCATGTTTCGGGCCCCTTCACCGCCGGTGGTTCTTTAGGATCACTCATTTTCCTCCGTGTGTTTCAGTTCTTTAATGTTCTGATTTTCAACATGTTTTGATGTGCCTTGAAAGCTGGAGTCAGCATGGAGACCTATCAAACGGGAAATATATGGAATTGGAGATTAACAGTGATTGTAAGTTGAAAGATAGTATTTTACTGCATTAAATATTCCTGTAATTAAGTTAAAGCATATTGACACACGATGCAAAAACAGAAAATCTTACCAAGCATTTTTGGTTCAGTTTCTAGTGCAAATATTTTAGTTTACTTGAAATTAGACAAAACTGACTCACAAGTACATTTTCAACAGGAAATAGGAGCTTGTTATAAGTCAATAACTTCTTAATATTGATTTTTTAAAAAGAGTACTTATCTCATTGGCAGATTATTTAACAAATACATTTTTCCATGTTATGAGTGAAATAATCTGCCAGTGAAACTTGAAATTTTTCATCAGTATTAAGTAATTATTGCCCCTAATGCGTTAGCTTTGGATAGGCTAATCGCCTTCTTACTTCCTCTGCTATTCATTAGCATCGGCTAGGCTATCATTCGCATAGGCTAGGCTAGCATTAGCATCAGCTAGGCTATCGTTAGCACTGGCTAGGCTAGATTTGAATGGTCACTTTTTTTGTTAAAGAATAATTTCTCAGGAAAATGGTTGACATGCAATATCTAGCATTAGATGAATTCACGTTAAAAATGGAAACTTCTCCAACTTATTTAATTATACAATGTGACATAAATTAATATTTATTGTTTTCAATAGTATAATTTGATTATTACTATGACTTAATTTTATATTTTATTTCTAATCTTATTGTTTGATAATTTTCCTTGTCCATTTAATGTTTTTAATAAATATGTATTTATCTGAGTATGATTTGTTTTTGACACAGTTTACTGTAATCCAATGAGACATGAATCATAAACATACTGCACAATATGGAGCTGATGTTGCCCTCCATCTTTAATTAGCGCTTGTTTGAAAATGTCAACACTGAAGACTCTTCAAAAATGGACTAAATTGTTTATTGTCTATTTATCAGGTAAAAATAAAATAGTTTTTGCTTTTAATTGAGAAAAAATGCAAAGAATGATTTCAAATTGAATTAGTTTGGACACAACAGCTGTAAGTACTTTATCAGAAATAACCAGACAGATCAAGTATTTGCCAGGATTTGAGGCCATGTCATAAAAATTATGTCTATTTTTTAAATCACCTTGTACTGTATGAAGTCTGAAACTTATCATATCACAGTGTGATGTAATCAATCAATCAATCAATCAAATTTTATTTGTATAGCACATTTCAGCTACAAGGCATTTCAAAGTGCTTTACATCATAAACACAAAACACAAAGGCATGCAACATAGAATAAAATACCAAGTTTTTTTTTTCCCTTTTCCTTTTCTTCCCCTTTTTCCTTCTTTTTCCCCTTCCCTCCTCTTTCCCTTTCTTCCCCTTCCCTTTGACACGGAATTTAAGCGCCTGTTACCGCCGGACTCCGCCGTCCGTTTAACCACGGGTATTCGCCGGGCCCCGTTGCCCACAAAAAAAAAAAAAAATACATACATATCCACAAAATCAAATCCATACATATTACATTTCAAATGCAACTCTAAACAGGTGCGTTTTTACTTGAGATTTGAAGGAAGTCAGGGTTTCTGCTGTTTTACAGTTTTCTGGAAGTTTGTTCCAAATTTTTGGTGCATAGATGCTGAAAGCTGTTTCTCCTCTCTTGGTTCTGGTTCTGGAGATGCAGAGCAGACCAGAACCAGAAGACCTGAGAGGTCTGGAAGGTTGATACAACAACAGCAGATCTTTAATGTATTGTGGGGCTAAACCATTCAGTGATTTGTAAACTAACAACAGTATTTTAAAATCTATTCTTTGAGCTACAGGGAGCCAGTGGAGGGACTTTAAAACTGGTGTTATGTCTCTATTTTCCTGGTTCTAGTGAGAACGCGAGCAGCAGCATTCTGGATCAGCTGCAGCTGTTTGATTGATTTGTTGGACAGGCCTGTGAAGACGCTGTTGCAATAATCAATGCGACTAAAGACAAACGCATTGATGAGTTTCTCTAGATCTGGCTGAGACATTAGTCCTCTAATCCTGGAGATGTTCTTCAGGTGATAGAAGGCCGATTTTGTTACTGTCTTTATGTGGCTCTGGAGGTTCAAGTCCGAGTCCATCACTACTCCCAGGTTTCGGGCCTGATCGCTAGGTTTTAGTTGTAATAACTGAAGCTGTGCATTGACTCTAGATCGTTCCTCTTTAGGTCCAAAAATAATGACTTCAGTTTTATTTTTGTTCAGTTGGAGAAAGTTTTGGCACATCCACACATTTATCTGCTCTAAACATTTATTCAGTGATTGGATGGGTTCAGAGTCACCTGGTGACATCGTAATGTAGAGCTGTGTGTCATCCGCATAGTTGTGGTAGCTAATATTATTTCCTGTTATGACCTGAGCTAGTGGGAGAATATAAATATTAAATAAGAGGGGTCCTAGGATTGAACCTTGGGGTACCCCACATGTGACCTTTGACCTCTTTGATGAGAAGTTTCCAATTGAAACAAAGAAATCCCTGTTCTTTATGTAGGATTCAAACCAGTCGAGCACCGAACCAGAGAGTCCAACCCAACTTTCAAGTCGATTCAGTAATATGTCAAAAGCTGCACTGAGGTCCAACAGAACCAGCACCGTGGTTCTCCCACAGTCCGTATTTATATGGATATCATTGAATACTTTTACGAGGGCAGTCTCCATGCTGTGGTGAGCACGAAAACCAGACTGGAAAGTGTCAAAGCAGTTGGTCATCATGAGGAAACTATTTAATTGTTTACACAGTTTTTTCAATAACTTTGCTGATGAATGGGAGGTTTGAGATTGGCCTGTAATTCTGCAATAGTGATTTGTCCAGGTTGTTCTTTTTTAACAGTGGTTTGATGACTGCTGTTTTCAAAGCCTGGGGGAAAACACCTGATGTAAGCGATGAGTTTACGATTTGGATCAGATCAGCAGCAATAACAGGCAGGACTTTCTTAAAGAAATGTGTGGGAAGGACATCCAGACAGCAGGAGCTTGAACTTAATTGACTTATAATTTCTTTTAGAGTTTTATAATTAAGTAGTTGAAAATGGGTCATTTTTCCTGTATTTGTTTTGTTTTGGTACAGCAATGGTTCTGGCTTTGAAGTTGATGTGCAGATTAATCCTCTGATTTTTTGGATTCTCTCTGAAAAGAAATCAGAAAACTTGTTACAGGCAGCATTAGATTGGAGTTCAGGTGGTAACGTCACAGGAGAGTTTGTGAGCCTGTCAACTGTTGCAAATAAAGTTCGAGCATTATTGATGTTTTTGTTTATGACATCTGCAAAGAAAGCCTCCCTTCCATGTTTTAGTGTTAAGTGATAGTTACGTAGTTTTTCTTTGTAGATGTCGTGATGAACGTGAAGTTGAGTTTTACGCCATTGTCGTTCTGCCCTGCGGCAGACTTGTCTTGCAGACCAAACTATTTGTGCATTTCTCCATGGAGATTTCTTTCTACCAGTCAAAACCTTTACTTTAATTGGGGCAATGGAATCAATGATATATGAAACTTTAGACTGAAAATCATCTAACAACTGATCTACATCATTACAGCTTAAGGGTGAGGAGGAAGAGTAGATTTGATTAAATGTTTCTGCTGTGTTTTCTGTGAAAGAACGTTTTGTGACAGTAGCTGTTTGTCCAAGTGGGTCAAAGAATAAAGAACCTTCAAAGATAACAGCGAAGTGATCCGACAGGGCGACATCAGTTACAGAGACATTGGAAATATTCACACCCTTACTGATAACCAGGTCCAGTGTGTGTCCTTGAGTGTGTGTTGCTTGTTTGACATGTTGTGTTAAACCAAAATTTTCTAAAATATCAGAGAGCTTTTTTGCTCCTCTGTTTTCGGGTTTGTCCACATGAATGTTAAAATCACCAACAATTATCAAACAATCATAATCAATGCATATGAGAGAAAGAAGATCATTCAAGTCAGTAAAGAAATTTTCCACATATGCTGGAGCTTTGTATAAAGTTAGTGTCAAAGTTCGTTTGAAGCCTTTAACCTGAATTCCAAGATACTCAAAAGAACTGAAATGACCGAAAGAGATTTTACTACAGTTTATGGTATTTTTAAATATAGAAGCCACGCCTCCTCCTTTTTTGTTTTCTATTCTCACTTAAAAAATTGTAGTCAGGAGGCGCTGATTCAATGAGTACAATTTGGTCATTATCGTCATTCAACCATGTTTCTGTCAGAAACATAACATCATCATTAATTAACAGAGCTTTAGCACAGAGTGATCTGATATTTAAAAGAGCTACTTTAAGTGGCTTGGAGGCCAAAAGATTTTCAGTCTGAGGTTCCTTTAGGCAGGGGATCACTCTGAGGTTTGAATTAGGACCGCTGTATTTCATATTTCTGGTTTTTGTAAATTTTCTTGTAGTGATCCGGACAGGTAATGTCCTGTTCTGCAGAACCCGGGGGCCAGACACATTCTGGATGGAGACAGGTGTAAAGATAATATCTGGTCCCCGGCCTCAGACCTCAGAAACGCAGAGTGATGGATCCTCTGGGAAGTCAGGGGCAGGTGGCTTAAATGTAGTGAGGTCTGCTACGTGAGTGCTAAGGAGAGACGAACCTGTTGATTCATTCCATCTGTAAATTTAAGAAACTCTGGTCCGGAAGACATTTCTTCATTGGTATCTATTGAATCCTGTGAATGCTTGGAGGAGCAGAGAGGGAGGGGGGAAGGAGCGAGGGAAGCAGTCGCTCCATCTCCAGTCGATTTATCAGCTTGTTTTGGAATATTGTGCTCCTGAGTTATCAGGAGGCAGAGTTATCAGTAAGGACGAGAGAGAGCAGGATAAGCTGTTCCTCCTTCGGCAGTCAAAGCACAAGTATAACTATAGGAACCTTCTACCAGCATAGCACCATGAAACTGAAAAACCCATGACATAATGAAACTGGGAAGCTGGCAGCAGAAGGTGTGTTCAGGGTTTTCTGTAAAGCTCTGATCGTGTTCAGGCTTGTTCAGAGTTAAATTTCATCTACATTAGGAGACCATCAGATACTCACCGCTGCCTCCGTCGCATTTTCCCCTCATCCTTCATTTAAAAACCAAACAACAACAGATCCGGCCTCAGAAAAGAACCAACGTCTCCCTCAGAAACTTTCTGTCACTCAGCTCATCCGCTGCTGTCCGACCTGTTTGGCTCCATATTTCACTCACCGGATGACGTGATTGGCTGCAGGAAGCAGCAGTTCTGGTTTCTGCTTTGAAAAGAAGGAAAATCCAACATGCGTTTGGATCAGGGCTGGGCATAACTCCTGAAGGGCCCCGGGCATTTTCAGTGGGACGGCCCCTTTGGTCCCAAATCACACGGAGAAATCTGATCAATTTCAGAAAGAAAACTATAAACTCCAGTCACTTATTTTTTACATGTGAAACTTGTTTTTTAGAAGCAGATGTGCAACATTTCCTGATTATCAGCGTGGTTTTAGTTCCACATTCTTGATGAAAATCATTAACGTCTGAACCTGTTCTAATATCTAAAACACTGTAACTAATTAGAACTGTTTATTTTTTAAAACTGATGTTACTTAGAAACTGTATTTGTTTTCTTTTTTACAGTTAAGATGATGCAACCTGTGTTTAATCTCATTCTGCTCCCAGATTCCGTAATTCATTTTTTTTGTGGATATTAAAAATCCCCAGGTTTATGCCTTCACAGCCGCATGCAGCAAGCCAATAAAAGTAAAGATACTTTGCTAAAAATGATATTCATATGGAGGATGGTTGCTGTCAAAATGGGCAATTAAAAAAGCTTTCCAGGCAAATAGTGTCAAAATGCTCTAGTAAATATGATTTAAAGAAATTTAACTTTATAATTAAACACCTTGAAATTGGGCCTCTGTCTCTTTAAAAACACCTGCACTTTCTGAAGCTCTGCCTCCAGGAAGTCATCACAACATGGCTTCTTTATCAAGCGAGTTAAACATTTTTACGCTGGTTGCTCTGAGCTCCTATAATAAGCTCAGCAGCTCCACCAGGTGTTTGCTCATTTCTGCTGGCTAGTCTGAAGGAGCTGAGTGGGGGAGGAGCTGCGATTCGAAGGCGGAGCTTGGTCCACCCAGGCATTTTGAACCTGGCTGGACTCATTCATTTCTCACTGAATTTCTCAAACATTCATGAATGAGTCAAAGCAGCACTCCAGGTTTGTTTTTGATGAAGGAATAACATTATAACACGATGGAAAGATGAAAAGTTGATTTTACATGATCCTGGCCCTTTAAGACCGAGGCTGTGGACCAGCGAATATCAGTTTATCTCGGTCTTCTGTCGCGGACAGACGGACAGACAGATGGAGCCGGTCGGGGCAGCAGCTCCACTCGCCGGCCTCCATTTTGTCGGCTCCTCGCCGCTTCCTGCTGCTGCAGCCCGTATTCTAATGGGGCCCGTTTGGATCGGAGCCACGGCGGATTTGACGCCAAACATCCAGGTTTCCTTTGTTACACAGGAGGAGAACACACATACAGCTCTGCTCTTTGTCCATCTGCAGCTCTCGCTTTACACACGCTTCGCAGCCGGAGGCGTTGCCATGGTGACGGGATGCAGTGAAGACGGGGGTGAAAGCTTTGATATAAATCTCTTAAGGATGTCAGGCTGTGCATCCAAATGAAGTCGTGTTTTATTCCCGTCTGGAGCTGTTCTCTGGTCCTGAAGGAATGTGGTTTTTGGCACAAGGGTCTAAATGTCTGGATGTGAATGAGATTCACACAAAGACATTCAAACGCTGCACAGATTAACATGCAGGTGGTAAAACAAACATTTCACAACATGTTTCTGTTCTCTTACAAACCCAGACACAAATATGTAGAAACTAGATATTTTCAGGCTGCATTAATCTGCAGATTTGAGCTATCAGATTTACAAAAACACCCAACTCAAACTGGAATTAGTGAATTTACTTATTTTGAGTTTGTTTGGTTTTCTGCACCAAACAAACTCACCTTTCTTTTTAATAAAGTCCTGCCGTCTGGAGCTGCAGCAGCGACAGTTTCAATAAAACCTCTGAACCTCTGACAAGCAGAGCTGTGACAGCAGTGAAACTGGGTCAGAGATTGTCTCATGCTTTCTTCTTCCCTTTTCATGTGCAGCCGTCTGGAGCTGAGAAGCCCCCTGCTGGAGAACCGGAGAACAGCGGCTCTTCATCGGCTGCAGCCGCTGGAGCTGAAGCTGCAGACGGAGGCAGCAAGGTAACAACTCCTCGCTCACATTCAGGGTTTCCAGAAACACTGAACATATGCACAGCACAAAGGTTCTCATCAATTCACATTACCTCAACATTCAACCAGACATCATGTTACAATGTTATTCCATCATCAGAATAACATTGTTTAACTTGAATAATTTGGGGTGTTGCTTTGATTCTTTTATGCAAGTTTGAGAAATCCCTTAATATCCATGGCAACCACAAGTCTAATTTTATTGTATTTAACCTTTATTTTACCAGATAAAATGTGATTGAGATTAGTCCTGGTCAAGAAGCTTCAACAACCTAAACAGTTGTTTAGTTACTCAAACTCTGCTCTGTTTGTCTGGAACGTCTGGTTCGTTTGGGGAGGTGTGAATGCGTAATCAAACTGATGCAGACCAAATAAGCAAACTCTGCTTACATGTCCTCCTCAGGTGGAGATGGTGTTCTGGCTGCTCTCCATGCTGGCGAACAGGGACAAGGATGAGATGTCCCGGACTCTCCTGGCCCTGTCCAGCTCTCAGGACAGCTGCATCGCCATGAGGAAATCTGGATGCGTCCCCTTGCTGGTTCAGATCTTGCATGAAGTTCCCTGTGGAGTTCCTGATGGAGTTCCCGGGGAGATGGCAGGCGGCATCGCCTCAACCGGCTGCAGCCGAGACACCAAATCCAGAGCGAGCGCCGCCCTGCACAACATCATCTTCTCACAGCAGGACGAAGGCCAGGCCCACCGGGAGATGAAGGTCCTGCACATGCTGGAGCAGATCCGGACCTACTGCGACAGCGGCTGGGACTGGCTCGAGAGTCATGCCGTGACGCCTTCACCTGGAGGCACCAAAACGTCTGGTGAGCCTAAAATACTCACAAGAACCACAAGTTAATGGAATTCAGATGCTCCAATTAGACAGTAGAACTTGATACAGAAAATACTCTAATCAGGATGTCTGGTTAGCGCACACTCCCTTTTTATGGATTTGATCCCACAAAGCTTTGATTTGGTTTAAACTTATCTCCTTTAACTTTTTCTGTGATGTGCAGATATTCCTGAACCTGTGGACCCTCAGATCTGTCAGGCCATGTGTGCCATCATGAAGATGTCCTTTGAAGAAGAGTACAGACGCGCCATGAATGAATTAGGTTTGTGCCTTATTTTCTAATTCTTAGCATCTGAGAGGGAAAAGAAGACTTATCCTAGCACTAAGCTGGCTTGATAGTTTAAGTTGTTGTGAGTTTTGGGTTCAGTGTGTGTTGTTCTTCCCCAGGTTGTCTTCAGGTGGTGGCAGATCTAATCCACCTTGAGCAGGAAATGTATGGCATGCAGAACGACCCCATCAACATGGCTCTGCGCCGCTACGCTGGGATGGGCCTCACCAACCTCACCTTTGGCGACGTCGTCAATAAGGTATGGTCAAACAATGGAGGCAGGATCCCCTAAATCCTAGACTAAATGGGTCTGAGGTGTTTCTAACCCAACAGGACACAGGTCATCCATTTTATCCGTAAGAAAACAGACCTGGAGACAATTTGACTTTAGTTTAAATGTGGAAAAATGCAGTCCAGAGAAATATTTGTCTCTCATGACTTTGTTCCCTGTCTCTATCCACTGAGCCTGATTTCGGTAAGTAAACTCATGGGGAAATATTTGTGCTTGGGAGTGCTAATTTGAGTAAAGTAAATAATTTGGCCATGAGGAATGTGTACAGGACTTAAACATTTCAGCAGCAGCAGTACAGTAGTGTTTAGCATTAGCTAATCTGTTACTCATGTCTGCACCCTCGTCGTCCTCCTGCAGGCCGCCCTGTGTTCAAGGAAGAGCTCCCTCCAGGCTCTGGTGGCCCAGCTGGCCTCAGACAGCGAGGAGCTTCACCAGGTGGTCTCCAGCGTCATGAGGAACCTGTCCTGGAGGGCCGACATCAGCACCAAGAGAGTTCTGAGAGACATCAGCTGTGTGTCTGCCCTCATGACCTGCGCCCTGCAGGCAACCAAGGTACCCAAAACTAAACTGGTGAAATACAAGCATTGAAATGGAAACTTAGTCTGTAGAAAATAGAGCCAAGGTTTTAACTTTTACTGAAGTTTCCTGCTCTTGTGTTGAGAAAAATATGCTTCTCTACAGGAGTCAACTCTGAAGAGTGTCCTCAGTGCTTTGTGGAACCTGTCAGCCCACAACATTGATAACAAAGTGGCGATCTGTTCAGTCGATGGATCTCTGGGTTTCCTGGTCAGCACACTGACTTACCGCTGTCAGACCAACTCGCTCGCCATCATCGAAAGTGGAGGGGGAATTCTCCGAAATGTGTCAAGTCTGATCGCCACGCGAGAGGACTACAGGTGGGTGAAGTTCTGATGCAGTGAAAACACTTTTTATTGCTGTAGTTACCTTCATTATCCATAAAAATATAAGCTGAAGTATGTCTGTTTTTCTTCCTGTGCAGACAAATCCTGCGAGATCACAACTGTCTCCAGACTCTTCTGGCGCACCTGCGCTCTCACAGCTTGACCATAGTGAGCAACGCCTGCGGGACTCTCTGGAACCTTTCAGCCAGGAGTCCTAAAGATCAGGAGCTGCTGTGGGATCTTGGGGCGGTTAGCATGCTGCGCAACCTCATCCACTCTAAGCACAAGATGATCGCCATGGGCAGCGCTGCAGCTTTGAGGAACCTCCTCACCAATCGACCTTTGAAATACAAAGACACTGCGGTGCTTTCCCCTGGCTCTTGCGTTCCCTCCCTCTACATGAGGAAACAGAAAGCTTTTGAGGCTGAGCTGAATGCCAAACACCTCGCTGAGACCTTTGATACAGTTGAGAAACAGAGTTCCAAGCATTTGAGCTTCAACAAACCTCTTAGGCACATCGAGAGTCTGGCGAAGGATTATGCCTCTGATTCTGGTTGCTTTGATGATGATGAAGCCCCCAATAACTCCAACAGCTTGGACTCTGGTAGCTTCTCTATGCTGCCAATGTATCTCACCAACTCCAACTTTGTGCAAAATCAGCCCCATAGGAGAGATAATGAACCCGAGAGAGATACAGATTTGCCTCAGATGATTGAGAAGAAACATGCTCCTCCTGATGATGTGGTCTCTGCTGCAGCAGAGAAACTAGCAAAGAAGATTACCAATACAGTGGCAAAAATTGACAGGCTAGTGGATGACATCACCATGCACACATCCTCTGAGGACAGTTTTAGCCTCAGCTCTGAGGACCACCTGGCAGACTGGCCCTATGGACAGGATGAGCTTAACGAAGCCCGAGCAAATTCATGCTCCCCCTGCCGTCTGTCTG